GGGGGGGTGCGGGGGGGCGTTGTAGGCTCCCGGCGAGTGGGGGGAGGGGCAAACCTCGAAAAACCGGGGAAGGGGGCGGGGGGGGGGGGGGGGGCCCCTTCGCCGTTCCCAGAAGTTACTTACTTCCGGGTTCGCCGACCAACCGGTTCGCAGGGACCGCCGTGAACCGCTTGAAACCCACCCCTGATTTAAACCCTAAGACAATTTTGCGGTATTAGGTACTACTTGCTTATAAATGGTATTATATGTGAAAGGATTTTGATATAGCCAGTGTAAACAGTTAGCAATCCTGCTTGTTTATGTGTTTACTTCATTATTATATTACCAACTACAGAAGGTGACCTACAAATTACAAGAAGTCCTCAAGTTATGATCATTTGTTCAGTGATTGTTTAAAATTATAATGGTCCTGAAAGAATGATACTTACTCCCGGTCCCTGAAATTATAGCCAATGCAGCCCTCTTGTAATCACATGATCAAAATATGGGTGCTTGGCAGCTTACCCACAGGACTGCAGGGGTGCTTCACCTCCCCTACCTGCCTATTTCCTCTTCATCTTTGCCCTTATAGCTTCCCGCACCCCATAGTTTCTGCTGCCCTGCGTTTGTGTGCCCGACTGACTTTTACCATCTTCTTGCTCACACTGCAGACCAAGCATGCCCAGCCTTGTTCTCCGCCAAGGCCGCTTTGCACAGCCTCGCAAAGGACCTAGTCAGGCACACATTGTTTAGCTATGCAAATTCCAATCCCAATTGCCATTATAACTCAAGGAGCACCTGTATATAAATCCATAAAATATAGTGTTACTGCTCTTATAAAACTTTGGATTCTATAAACATTCCTTAACATCCATTTTAAAACTCTGTGAAAGGATTTTGTCTTCATGGCCCTTTGACAAATTGTCTGGAGTAGTGAATGATGCCATTTGAATCTGTGGGAATGAGAGTATTTCCATAATATAGCATTCCATAATGTAGTGCAATACAGCATTTCATGAGAAGCAGCATGTTCTGGCTCTTCTGTTCTCATTTGGAAGTGATGCTCTAAACTAATATGGCTGAATATACCAGGTAAATCACTTCTACCTAAAAATGCTCCTCCTACAAAGACACTGAATCCTGCAATTCCAGAGATGTGTCCCAGCCTATTCAGACAGTAAGAATTACTGCATGGGGGAACCCACTAAAATGGTAAAATCCAAGAGACCTGAAGATTCTGAAATGAACTCTCAAAATCTTATTTTGAGGATTAAATTTTGTCTTGAAGATTTTCTGCCATTTTTATTTTGGAATTCTGGAGATGAATCTACAGATGCTTGCTGGAAACTTTGGCTCTATAATGCTAATCTCCATCTTTAATATTATTGAATTCTCAGGTTGAACAAATTTTACAGATTTTAGTAACGTCCAACTGTGTGTTTTCTCTCTTTTAATTTTATTACAAAGTATTAATTGATGTGATTTTTAAAATTATTTTGGGCAACTGTTGCTTTCATTACAAAACCTTTGTCTGTAATGTTGATGCTAGCCAATATGTATAGTTATGCTAGATGGGCCACTGTCTGATGCTTACATTGAAAGTATAATTGTAATCAACACTGCCTTAATTATCAATTAACTTAACAAAACAAATTATGAACACTCACCATAACCAATGACAAAAGGATTCCAACAAAGTCTTCCTAATAACTGACCAATTAATGGAAATTTTTGGACTGCAGTTGTCGAGTTCTGAAATTAAAGAGAATGCTTGAAATTAATGGGTGCCAAAATGTTGGTTATCCACAATGTTAGGGAATGGGAAAATGGAAATTAAGACCAGAGCATCTTCCGAACAAGAGCTGCCTAAATGTACAGATAGTCCTCGAGATACAACAGTAATGAAGTCTGCTCATTAGTCACATGTCACAATGGCTGTTAAGTGACAGCCATTGTGACATGTGACTAATGAGCAGACTTCATT